ATATTGAAATAGTCTAGTAGATCAAGGGGCAGATTTTTCAAATTGTGTTGAAATGTGCAGTAGTCAATTGCAATTTTGGGGATATCATTACCTGCTTAAGAATGGGAATGAAGAATCCAGACAATGAAATTCCCGTGAATGTTAGAAGACATCGCTTTGTATCTCTTTTTTAACTGCGTTCGGATAGATTATACCCCATTTTAGATTGAAGCTTATCTTCTTCCAAAATACGCACAAAAGGCAAGGCCCACCTAACCAACATACGACTTTGCAAATGTTAATAATTGGCCATGGTACTAAGTTGATGGGAAAATGAAAATAAACACATTTAAGTGTCAGTATATGAAAGGACAAATATACTGACAAATCTATTAAACAGTAACAGTATACAAACATAACGCAATTTTAACACTTTTAGATAATTTGACTTCTCCTCAATTAAGGTTACGGTACAACTGATAATATGACCGGCAATTCCCCCGTAGAACCCAATAGTGGTAATTGCAGACCAGTTCCTAACACTCATTGTCCCAACACGCTCGTGAAGACCACAGATATGGGAATTCTAATGGCGACATTTTTCATTGACAAAGAAAGTGCTTTGCTCTTGCCGCCTATCTGGCACAAGCACGCTTCCAGCGAGTCATGTGTATTGGCTTCACTCTCACTGTCGCAATGTGTTGCTGAAACCGCACAGGCTGTTCGAAGTGAATTCTGCGAATTGAAGTGAATTCTGCGAACAGAATGAATGCCACAGAACGATGTTCGTGCTGTCATTCTACGTGCTGATCAGCCCACGTTTGTAAATAATAAAAGACATTGCAAAACTTATCTCCATATGCTGTCGCAGAGTACAAATACCCCTGTGCATTAAATTTTAGCAACAAAGGTTCCATCCTTATTCCATAAACCGCTTTTAAATAGTTGACAAATGACGGTGATCGAATGGAGACATGGCGCCCGTTAGATTTAGAGCTTAGCTGAGACTACTAAAATCGGATAGCCGACTACAGAAGTCGACTTTGCAATATTGCATATCACTTCAGTCTAAGAGTGTTTTGAGCCCCAATACTGGCATAAATAACCAAATGGGTTTTGGCACTTTCAGAACGTAAAAATCATTGTCATAACAATCAGAATTTACTTAATGAACTCTTAATAAAAATAAACCGACAAAACGAGGTGAGTGACAATTTAAAAGCTTCTGCTAAACGCAAAAAAAGTCGACTTTAATCCTTTAATCCCTGCTAGAGGTGGTTTTTGTCCTTAGGTGCCTTGCGAAGGAAGCAACGTGGTCAAAGTCGCATTTTTGTAAGAAACTCTTTATATAAAAATAATCTATTATCACTGTACAGGTAGGTAAAAAACAGTTGTAATTTTAAGCAAAGTTTCACGTGGGGAAGGGCCAGAGAACCAAGATCCCTGCAAAACTGTGCATTCACCTGTACATACTATATAAAAATACCCCCACCCATTTTAGCAAAGAAACATGCTAGAACGTGAGAACCAAAGCCATAGCAGGTGGCAGTGGCACAATCATGTAAATTAGATAACTGGAAGTGAATTCTACCCATTGCCCATCACGCACGAGGGCCACTTTCCTTTCTCTTCAGCCTCATGGTACAATAAGGGCGAAATGAGCAAATCCGATATTAGGCAGAACGCTCGAAAAATTGACTAGACGTGCAATTAAAATCAATAAACAACAAAAAGAGGGGCTTTGTATCCAAATACAATTACCAGTATTGAGCTCCGATTAACCGTATTAAGGCCTCGTATTTCTCAAAATTCAAATTAAGCACGTTCCTGTGTTGTCGTAATTCGACGGCTCAAAAGTTAGTGTGGAAGGCGGAGAACATGAAACAGAAAGATAAGGGTGAAATAAGCGGTGAGGCATGGGGGTCTGTCCAGTCTCCCCCAACGAGAGGATAGTTTCGTGTACCCAAACATAAAATACAATGTCGGTAAACCGCTTTGGTTCATATATTCGCTGTGTAACAGCGTTTCACATGGGCTCTAACGGTAACAGTATGCTGTGCAAAATGATGAAAAAGCTTTGGTTAACCCCTCCCCTTTTCTTTTGGAATACTGCCACCTGTACGACCGAACTTCTGTTTTTATCCAAAAAATAGCGACTAGAACTTGAAAAAGTACACATACACAGTATTTAGCATATTTGTGTTTTACAACTTACACATCTACTGGTTGCGTTTTTCCCACCCATTCCCTTAACTGACCCAATCTAATCATTAAACCAAATATGAAGTCGTTTCAGTAAATTATCTCGTAGTACCATACTTGTATCTATGTATCTTTCAACGGGAAGTAGTACCATACTTGTATCTATGTATCTTTCCAGTAGATAGGGAAAAAAGGGCAAAACATATTGGTAGCTAATTAGCAGTAACTGTCAACAGAAATTAAGGCAAAATTATAGTTTACATGTATTTAATAATTCATCAGACGCGATGGTAGTCGAACCTTATCGAGATGCGAAAGCATTCATGCATTTAAGTGGCTAAATGAAAAATGCAAGCGTAATAGTAACGTATAATTGTTGGTTTAGTAACCAAAACTAAGTGTTCTTTTTCATTATGGTTTTAGTTGATAGAAAATATTCCCTTTTATTGACAAAGTTGCGACATTCATATTGATATATTCACTGTAAATGCACTTGTAATGTTTCCTATGTTATATAATAATAATAATAATAATAATAATAATAATAATAATAATAATAATTATTATTATTATTATTATTATTATTATTATTATTATTATTATTGTCGTGTCGCACGTAATGTAGATGGCGACATACATTATGTACCAGTCGTACCGTTTCGAGCTCAATAAACGTTATTATTCCAATATATGGGAAGCTGGCTGACATGTAGACTACAGGTAAACTAAAAATCTACAGCTTAACTTATTGGTACAGAGGGTAAACATTTGCACCACTTTAAGAATATATTTCTGCTTGTCTGTGACGTTGTCTCAAAATAAGTTTACCCATATCTCGTTAATAAGATGGCGACAAACAATATACAGGATGCATAAATAAAACAAGAAGATTGTAGCTCATTTTTTATGGATCTAACTGCAGAAGAAAATGACAAGTACAATGCATAAACTACTGACATTGCAGTTTCTATAATGGTCTCAAATGGACCGCAGATAAATCGGACATATAGATAACGATATCAACTACGACAATAAGAAAAAGTGACAAAAATTCGACTATGATAATAATGATATAAATCATCTCTATAACTATAATCAAAGGTGCCGGCAATGTTTATGATACCTTGTTAAAGATGGCGGTTCACCGGAAAAGATAATGGAGACAGATGATGGCGACATCCGGGCTACTTGTGGAGAGAGAGAGAGAGAGGGAAAGAGAGAGAGAGACGTACTGTTTCTCTTTGAGATCGTCAAAGTTATTTAAACAATGTGTACCAGTTTTCCTTAAGTTTGTATGGCTTATGGAAATAATGATAATGCCTGAACGCTTTGTAAAATTAAACTAATCATATTTAATTCAGCAAAACATCCGATCGTTGAAACTATACCACTTTTGGCACTGTATTCCATTGAGGAATTCTATCAGCCCCTGCTGCATTATCAGTCTCACTCAATCTTTAATAGAAATAACTGGACTGATAGAGTTAATTCGACGCTTGCTCGGTTCATCTGGGATTATCCACGGAAAAGCATTTAACGCCATGCAAAGCTTTACTATCTAATGGAATAAGAAAGGCGAATCTATCTGCGAAAAGGTCGATAATTTGATGTTGATATTGGCTTCATTTCGAATTATTCAGGACTCTGTTAAATCTCAAGGGGGGCGTGGTATTCTGTAGGAATATCGGTCAAGCCGGTGTTGTATCTTTTAATGTAAAGGTTGGGGAAGAGGAGGAATTAAGAAAAAAAATGTCAGTCTTTTCTTGTGATCTGGGTACCGTCTGCACAGATTAAACTGATACAAAAAAAGACTGGATAACGTCCCAGCCCAGATCTAATCGTATCTTATAATCCCTGGCAAAAGAAGCGATGATTTAAAGATATCCATTGCAATAGCGTCAATTTAGTTTTTCCAGTATGTATAAGGGGGTTATAGAATTTCTTGAATTTCTTCTCTTAATCCAGGTGGTCTTCGGCCTTCAATGGGCTCCCGATAATTACAAGGGACCAGGTATCCCTATACCACCTCATGCCCCCCTTTTATCAAAAATAAATTGAAGTCTATTATCAAAGTTAATCTTTTTTAACCAAATGGGTGGTAATATACGACTTGGGTTACCATAAAGAAAAGACTCATAAGCGAGAGGGCAAGGAGGTTAGCCGTGCTGGGTTTTACGCAAAGCAAACCGATACTGGATGGGAAATATACCGCAGTGCTTTCATACTTAAGGGCCGATGCTCTTAGGGTGGGGGAGGAGCGTTCACGACTCGTACCACTGAACATGTGAATGGGTCAAACGGCCAATTTTAAAAGTAAGTGTCAGTAATGGCTTGATGGTCAAGTGCCTTTTTCACATTCTTTGATTTTTAATGTTACAGATGTACTTGTTCCATCTCTCGGTTATGATTTCCAGTTCCTGGTTGCGGGTATTGTGCTAGGTGTGCCAGTCTCATGTCAGATGCACATTTGAGAAGCTTAATCTCACCAAGTTGCGGCAGCAGTGCTTCTCTTGCGGTAAAAAACGAACAATATAGGCAACGTAAGTATGTCGTGCGGATCGCTTGTGATTGCCCCTTTCAACGCATAATCATTTTATAATAAGTAGAATGGCTTTGCCTACCAGCGTGCAACTGTATCACCCCATGACTTGGAACCATGCAGCAAAGTAACTCAGTACACCTTGGTCATCTGTTAAACCGACTCAAGTTAAATCAAAAGCGCAACTTACAAGTGATTGTGCTTCTTTTACATGTAGATAGTTCCTGGATGGCACTGTAGGGCGACAAGATCTCTAGATCTGTTTGAAAGGTAGCACACATCAGCCAAGAACAATATGTTCAGGTACACGTGTATCTCTGCTACCAGTCGTCCTCGTTGCAATTCCGAAGTTGTCGTTTTTAACGTCGTGACATACGTGTGGGGTTGACACAGAGGTGTTCGTCCTTGTTGATTCATGTGAGGAGAATCTCCGCATAAAACGAAGCGCTGCCCACCGAGCGCTGTCACTTACTTGGCGGAATCCTTGACGGAATTCTTTAGAAACGAAATTGTAGACTATAGGATTTATGCAAGAGTTTGAAAAAGCTAATAACTGAGCCGTGCTTGAGATAATGATGTACGTGATGCCCTTTGGCCCGACGCCAAGAGCGCAAACAATTGTAATCATGGTGAAAGGAACCCAACATACGCAAAATACCAGGGCAACAGAAACCACTAGAATCATCTGTTTCATAGTTTGTTTCTTTGATTGTTCTGCTAGCTCCTCTTCAGAGAAACTTTCTATTGAAATGTCTCGTTTTCGCAAAGCTACAACAATGCACATCGACGCTATAAAGAGAATCAGAAGAGGCACTAACACGTCTGCAGCTGTTGTGATGACCACGAATACCGTCGTTTGGTATTGGAACTCAAATACAGGGGAGCATGCAACACCCTGATGCTCCATATAGTATATCGCAATCGGTGTGTTAACAAGAAGCAAAGAAATCCATATTGAAATGATGACCATTTTTACTCGCCGTTTGGTCAGAACCATCCCGCATCGCATTGGCTTGGCAATGGCAAAGCATCGAAATGCACAAATTGCGGCCAGCGAGTATCCACCCACTCCCGTGGTTACGAATATGGTGTATTTGAAAATTTTACATAATCCATCCCCGAGTAGTAAATTATACTCGGTGCCATAGTAGGCCGCCTGGAGAGGTACACAAACTGCTAGAAAAATGAGATCGGACAATGCTAGATTGAGAAACAGAATGTTCGGACTGGTGCTAAGACATTTACTCTTAGCTATAGTATAGATGGTTAAAGTGTTTCCGATTATACCAATGATGAGAAATAAAACAAAAACCATTGGGAAAACCACAGAACTTATTTTCAGAAACCTCATCAAGTTTTCGTAGTCTTCCGAGTATGTCCCGTTCCCGCCCAGTTGCCGACTAGGTTCATATCGCAAGAGGCTCAAATTTGTAGCACTAAGTGCTGTGTCCATTGTATACTCTCTAGCTACATGTTATATCTGATATGCACTCCCTCGTAATCAATCCCTTGCTGGACACCGTAAAAAGCAATGTCCTTATTTTTTAAGACTGAATTACTGTTGACTGTCGTGTCTTCTTCCACACAAGTCAGTTCATACCAGTTGTTTTTACGTGGTTTCCCCCTGTAATGAATGTGTACAGTACGTACTCTCACGGCTTTCTTGTGTGTCTTCAACAACTACAGGTTTAAGTTCCAACGTCCAATAACCTGTGAACGCAACGCAGAATCAACGCGAAAGAAGTCTGTGCCTAAGGCAGCTGAAGGTAAACATATACTGCCTTACTTGCATGCCACCTTTGCGAACCATTAGTGCACTTAAAACATTTCTTTGTCCCGGTGTTATTTTTTGGTGTTCCACTAAGAAACTGCCAACCTATGCCCATCCTCAGAATTGGCGTTTAAACTAATTGATAGAATCCTCTTACATCCCCAATCTTGCTTTAAAGTGTATACGATACGTGTGGCGTGCTTCTTACATTTGCATGTCTAGACGTAATACCTCATTAAAACAAGTGCCTCCTGTTCTAAGTCATTCTAGGAATCCGATACCAAGGGCAAATTTTCAAACATTTTCCAATATTTTGAGATATTGGCGTCATAGCCATCAGTGCGCAGAGCTTGAAATGTAGAGCTGCAAATTCATCTACTGATTGGCCATGAGTGATTTAAGCTTCGCTTCTTCGTATTTGCTGGATAAAAGTATTGAGATAGATTAGTTTGTTATTTGCAATTGGTTAAGTAGGCCTACAAAATTGCAACCTTATTGGATAGACTGGAACCGACGCGACAGTTCTCAGAAGGTTGTCCCTTCGGAGAAAACTAAACAATCAAACATGCTATATGGTACTCCGCAGTCAAATGGCAAGACAGAGAATAAGAACTATACTATCAACAAGCATTTCTGTCGTATTTAACGAAGAACTTCATTTCTTACGTGCATCAATGAAAGACAACGAAATTTAATAAACAAAGCCCGTGTGAAATGATGAGATGGCCCCTAAGTAATAAATGTAAAGTTCTCTTATTGAATTGGAACTTGACTCTCCAGTTGTGTGGTCATGATCTACTCAGTCAATACCGATAGCATGACCTTAAGCTCAAACTTTCTTACGGTAAAATGTTAGATACATACGCAAAAGTTAAGATGGACCTTTTTAAAATCAACGTTTACTGTACCATCCCAAAACAAATGTGCTTTAAAATTTTAATGTTAAAATAAATTACTTTTATAGACCATCATATAAGATTTTCTCAGAGTTAAACTGTTAACATCATTCTAATGTGAAAATTGGACAACGAAGTGAAGCCAGGGACGTCGGAAGTCAAGTGTTCGAATATAAGCTGGAGTAATAAATTGGATAGCGGTCAATGCAGAATTAGTCGACTGCACCGAAGAAAAACAAGGTAAACGGTCTTTTAGATTCTTTCTGAAAACGATACTTAGCCGGCTATATGTTAAAGCAGGTAATAATTAACCTTTGACATTTTTGTGAAATAGGCACCAGGACTGAATTGAATGCATTAATGAAATATTAGGATAAGCGATCTTAATTTTTACTAGTGTATTGTGACGCTGTCGACTGCGTTACAAAGAGTAACTTTCTGTCCGTAACAACAATTAAACTGTGCCTTGCAGTAGAAAAAGCCATAAGGTCGGAGTGGCATACAGAGAAGCAATTTATTTCATTGAATCCCCTTATACATGTATACCAGTTCATCTCAACTTAACATTCACCAATCAGGGCAAGTTACACAATGCACGGCGCCACTAAGAAGTCACCGATCAGAATACATTAAGCCCTTACAACGGCCCGGTTTGAGAGTAAAAAAATACTTTACGTGCCGACAACTGATCGATCTTTGAGCAAAGCAATGCTTGTGGCTTCTATCTGCGACAACACTGACGCCAGTTTCATGGTCGTACAAAGGACGCAGCAAGGGTGCCGTCCAGTGTAAAGCGGGCTTTACTGAACAGACACCAACTTACGCACAGTACTGGGCTAATGTTGTAACAAATCTCAACTAACGCAATGCCACTACGTTACAGTATCTAGCTAGTTGTTGCTCTAAAATCCATGGTGGAATTATCTTTTGCTTAAACTTGTAATAATAAATAAATAAATAAATAAATAAATTGTTTTTTAATGCCGGTATGTGAATCTTTATCTATCAACTGCAATGCTTAAGACAAAGGTACACCCAAGGTCTTTTTGGAATCTTTTTCATATTCCGGATTGGTGGGAGGCGCTTGAAGAAGCGCAGTGCATGGAGGAGTGCAGGACAGACAAAAGAAGAAAAAAAAAGAAGAAAATTGAAAATGAAGAAAACCACAGAAAGGAAGGACAGCAAAACTAGCCTTCAACTTGCTGTCCAATGTTTTGTTGTGACAATTAAAGACATTCATGCACTGATTGGACTGCTAAGCGATTGAGTTTGGGTATGAACACTGTATATTTCCATTAGTACACTACCAACAAAATCAACTTGAGAGATTTTGTCTACGCCAGCATTGCGAATCACCAACGTGAATTATCCAGCAAAGCACTTAATTTGTCACAACACATAGATTTCATCTTCGAATATTTGAATTTAGACAGAACACTTATATAAGTGATCGATATAATATTAACTTCGAAGCTCTTTAAAGCGAAGTGCACTCTGCAGGCTATAGGCATCACGGGAGTGTCGACCCTAAATGCATTTTTACTGCAAGGCACATTTTTCAATGTGGCTGAAGTCCACTGTCCATTCCTGAGCTTAAACGGAAAATTCCATTACTGTTTCACTGTGAAAAACCTAGCGTCCATTCTTCAAACAACTTTCTCAAATGCATAGAAAAGCAAGCCGTGTCATTTTTTATTTACTTTTTCAGGGGATTGTTGCGAACATTAACAGAAGGTGAATACGTATTACTGTATATATGTTTTCTCGGTTATGGAGCAATTTTAGAGACGAGTGAGGCAAATAGCAAAGAGCTTGTTTATCAATATCCCCGCGAGTAATCCATTATGCAAAATAATCACATCTCTCACTGTTCATCTGATGAAATTGATTTTAAATCGCTTTAGTCTCAGTATATCAAATGTAAAATCTCATGTATTGATCCAAGCCCACTCCCTCTCGCTTAATATCACGCATCCACATTATGGTGACATTTTTTAAGCTTCGAGAAGCACATTTAAAATATTTTAAAGGTGGCACAAAAAAAAAATAATAATAAATAATAATAATAATAAATAAAATAAAATAAATAAGTAAATAAAAATAGGACTTCAAAATGACATAAATAAACTAAATTAAAGTCGGTGTCCGAAAGTATATTGTGCATGTGAAATACCTGAATAACTATATACATATACCTTTAGTGTGCTTCCAATGGTCTCATTATATTACATATATCGGTATGTACTTCCCTATCAACAGAAGCTGATACATCAGGAACGGAAATAAAATAATCTGTAATATTCTAGCACAAGAAATCACACACGCTTCTCTCTCCCTGCTCCCGTTTTCTATGAAATTGTCCGTAATTTATTACAAGTAATCCGTTTTGTTGACAGTCTTGGGACTCCCCACGACTAAATTCGAATATCAACACACAGGCGACGTCACAGCATCAACGGTTTAAGTATCTCTATAACGCTGTCAAATCCCAAAGGAAGAAAGATGTAATTTAGTGTAATTAGATGAGAAACTCGCCATAACGGTTGCCGCTGAGAGTTAAAATAAGGTTTAAAACGCACCATTATATCAGAGTCATTCCTCATTTTTTTCTCAGTAGCTTCGAAATATAAGTGTAAGGTACCCACAAGTCAATAATGCGATGGCTGGAAGTCCATCTTAATCATGGAAAAAAAGCTACTGTGCAGTTATTAAGAACGCGCTATTGGTCGTCAGTAGCTTCAGTTATCCAAATATGCCTAAAATTTGCTATATCGGAGTGCTTCTCGCCAATGTCCTCAGCAAAGTGAAAATTTTGCAGCAAATGTTTAGCTTGCGGCAAGTAGTCCGCAAGAAAAAAATTGTATTGCTGCTAATTAACATCAAATTCGCAAGAATATAAAATTCCTTTTTGCAAATTTGCAGCAAATTGCGGGATGAGTTAGCGGCAGTCCTGGTATTCTTCCAAGGGTGATCATTTGGCCATATGTGCATGTATCTTTGAAAAACGTTTCTTTCCACATCGATGATGCATCTCACTCGTTCCGTTCCTTGACAAGTCATTGGACTACATGTAGTATCTACAAGTGAACGAATTTCACTTTACCCATCCAAATCCCATATTAATATCACTAAGAATAGCGCCTATGACAGATTAAGACGACTTATACAATTCTGAAAGCCCAAAGCTGCTTTACCCATTATTCCAATTTAATTTTGCTTTTATAAGCCAATCACTAGACGTTTTATCTTGATTAAGTCCGGATAATTTTATGTCATTTTCGCTTTTCACCTTCCCTCTTGTTAACTGCATGGCTCGATCATTATACAGGGTTTTAAGTACCTACTGGGATTATACTATTAAAGGCCTATTATCTATATTATCTACTTGTATAAACTGGCACGCTTGAATTTTGATTGCTGTAACACCGCGGTCTCTACCTTCACATAATGTTTGCTTTCTGTTGTCCCATTTTCCCTTATTTTTTGTTTTTGTATTTTTACTTTCTTCACTTTTACTTTACGTCACCTGTACGTTACTATCATTTCCTCTTACGGTTGCCGTGAGGTCAGATGAGCCGCTAAATTAATCGTCATTAGACAAAATTCCACGTTTAAGAATCCAGCTGAAATTTAGTTTTCATTTCAAACTTAGCAGATATTCCTATATTGATGATGTTTCTGCAGATACATATATCTGAAGGTGGGTAAACTGGTCGTTTCTCTGACTAACGAAGAATTGAAGTTCCATTGAGTTAATACTGTTAGGCAAGTTTAGTGAAATTTTAGAAGAAATGAAGAAGTACTTTGATTGTCAGGCCCATATACTTTTTCCCGGAATTTATAGAAAAAATATTCTGGATCATTGTACTAAGTCGATTGGACGTGGGAGGAATTACTGTGGAAACCGTTTCACTTTGACATCTTTTGAAGCACACTGAGTTCGTATAGCGATAACTTTATTTCATAAAAAAATATCACGCCGATTCTGTAACTGTTTTTACAGCACAAGTCTGGAAAACTATGCCAGTATCAGTTTACAAACAACAATGTAATAAAATTAAAACACGTGATGTGCAGTATCATACTTACACAAGTATATTAAGATGTTAAAATGCTCCATCCATATGCCAGTTACCTATAGTAACCTTTAAAACATAAGGGGAAATAATATATGCTTTACAGAGTCTATAGGCGCCTGTCTCACAAATATTGAACAAAGTCGAATCGGTCAAAGCAAAGGGTTTTTAGACTTTTAGTCAATTTAGCTACACATCACAAATGATCTCATAGTCTGCCTTCCCATCTTTTCTATCAGTCGTTTCACAGCGCCTCTTTGGTACATGACAATAGTTTTGAGAAGATACCTACTTTTAGTGGTGACGATAGCACATTTAACTAGGCACAGTATACCAATAAGATTTATTACACCAAACAAATAAAGAATGGAAACTAGAGCTTGGACTGGATACTCGCATGCGATGTAAATGTAGATGATATGCCGTTTCGAGTATATACAATAGTGAAGTCTAAATCACTTCAACATGAATCTGAACAAACTGACACTGTTGCCATGTGACAATCAACACGGAAGGTGTCCACCAAGAATGTCTTCGAAGAAAGCTCTTCATTTTTTAACATCCCTATACCAATAACGCAAAGTCAAAGACGACGAATGTGTTTCCGCCTCTGCCAGTGTAACGAAACTGAGGGTCCATGTGACAGGAAGTCCGCCCTCCATATAGTTATAATGGTTAGGGTTAGTCTGACCTAAGTGGGTCAAAATCTAGGGCGAGGCTCACCTGTACAAATGAATGGACAGCGGACTCTCTGTTATGGGGGACTCTCTGTCACATTACACTTCCGTAAATTAGTTAGCTTTGTTGACGTCCCGTGTAGAAACTGCCTTGCAGGTGTTCCATGTCCCTTCCGTGCTCCACAAGTCTGTCGGAATCCTATCTGAAACTCCCGCGAAACGAAGTTATAAACGATGGGATTTAAACAAGAATTTGAAAATGCTAGCATCTGGGCTATGGTTGCTATGACGACGTACGTGATACCCTTTGGAGTAACCCGGAGGTAACTGCATATCGTTAATATTGTAAATGGCACCCAGCACACGACGAACAGAACGGTGACGGTTCCGAGTAGAACCAATAATCTCTTTGAGTTCTTCTTCGATTGTTCCATCCCCTGGTTCTCGCCGAGGTCGTTCATAGACATCTGGTGCTTGCGGAGAGCCTGAACTATACACGTAGAGGCAATGAGGGATACCGTGATGGGTAAAAAGACGTCGATGGCGGTTGTGCTGGCGACAAAATATGCCTCCTGGTACCGGTGTTCAAACACAGGTTGACAGCTACGGTAGCCATGTTCGGTGTAGTGAAGGGCGACTGGGGCATTGACAACACACATTATGACCCAAATGATGCCACATGTCAATGTTACGCGCCATTTGGTCAGGAACCGAGCTGAATGCATTGGCTTCGATATGGCAATGCAACGAAACACGCCGATTGTAGCCAGAGAGTATCCTCCAACGCCAGTTGTGACAAATATGGAATATTTAAAGAATTTGCACAGTCCTTCCCCTATGAATAAGTCATATTTTTTGCCATAGTAGGCCGCCTGTAGTGGTATGCAGATTAATAGGAAAAATAAATCAGAGATAGCAAGATTTAGAAACAGAATGTTTGGACGAGTCCGCAAATGTTTGCTGGTGCAGATAATTCCAATAACCAGCCCGTTGCCAATTAGACCTAGTATAAGAAATATGGACAGAATAATAGGACATACCACGGCGCATGTTGCCAGCATCTGGAGGAAGTAAACGTATTCTTCACTTGTCGTTGCGTTTATCTGTCCGTGTTCCAGAAAAAAGGAAATATTATAGCTTTCCGCTGTATTTGTGACAGATTCGCCAAACGTGAAATTCGGTAGGTATTCCATGTTAATTCCAAGTCCAAAATCTGCAAACGTTCGTCGTCACATGTATTTGATACACCCTGTTATTTTGACAAAAAGAAACCTTTGAGTGAAATGTTCCACAACCGCTTGCCGATTAATTTGGAACAGCTCCCATAAGCTTTTAGTTGCATTTATTTTCTAAAACCAAAAGGACGCCAGCCAATGAGCAGTGTTGAAGTGTATCAACATACAATATGTATATGATGTGGTTTTAAGTGTCAAAAGATGGCCGGGAAAACGCCTGCTTCAAGTTACCCTTCAGCACGTGTTAATTAACAAATGGAATACAGGTCTCCACATTGACAATACATCTTCGCCGTTTTAAGTGCTGCTGCTATTCTAAGCGAAAGACGTGCATGTACCACAAAACTGATATAGGATGTAGTCGGAGATACTACGGCTCAAATTTCATAGAAGAAATTGCATAAATGCCGCAAAGTGACCAGATATGATCAGATATCTATTATCTACCACTCGTATTGTTGATTATTTATTAGAAGATTTAGATATAATCTTGGTATTTGCTGAGCTTGTATCTTTTCCAGAAAGGCGTGTAGTAATACACCGTACATGATGGCAATGCCTATATATAAATGTAGAATGATATCCATTAATCAGCAAGTGTAGGCGCAATCACTCAGGTTATATGAAATATAATTTAATATTAAGGCTAATGTAAAGACAGTCCATGCTCCATCTTGATTCTCGGCCAAACATTGAGATACATGTACCCCGAATAACAGTTAACACTTATTGAATGAGTAAATCGAGTGAGCGCACTGAGCAGCATTATATAAAAGACCTATAAGAAATGTCTTCAGCCTTCAAAACAGTAGACATATAGGGCTGAGGCATTTTTACTTTCGAATGTGCTGAGGGTATTCTTATTCCTTTAAACACAACTAACGAGGCTACAGAATAGTTAGCATGGAATCAGAGAGCAGGCATTTGTTGGCCTACATTCTGGCGATTAATGCGGGAGAATTTAATGTCTAGGAGATAAATGAACAGACTACAAATAGGTACTGCGTGTCTTGTCACTCGTAAAATGCCATTTATTAAATGACAATTTTAAAATCAGACAATAACCAAAGAACAGTTCCACAGATTTATTTTAGGGTAGATGCAACTTTAACCCAAATATCGTAGGATTCTGAACACTTTTAGGCCTTGCGCAACAAAATCATGTTCCATTTCAAAAAAGATTTTATGAAAATTAAGTTTAGCACGTGCAAACATTGTAGTCAATTACCGAATACCAACATCAAGCAAGCATAAAAAATTAATGGAATATTCAAGCAAATCATACGTCCCATTGTACGTATTAGACTATATGGTATGGTTTACAATCTCCTAGCTTATCCTTCGGGAGTCCCTTTCCCCGCCTCCCCCCACCCCACACACAGAGTAGCCGCAACAGTGCTGCAAACCTACCGCATATAAGGCCCCATTCAGAATGAGAAAAGCCGAGTGCTAGCTAGGTCACGACCTAAATATTAAAGAAAGACCGCTTAAGCCTGTAATGGTCTCTCGCCTCTCACAGGCTCAGCACGCGTCGTCCCTCGACCGGTTGAATTGAGCCGAGATGTAATTACTGTGCCCCTGCACTCATTCTGTCTTCTCATTCTGAATGGTCCCTAAGACCCGCTATCCACACATTATTTAGGCTCTAAGCATAACGTATAATTGCTTCCGATTGCCTTTAGGTGTTTATTACATCATGCCACTGACTGATCAACAGGGATGAAAAATAATCAACAGACGTAGACGATGACAATTTTACTATAACATGTTGGTTACTGGGATCGAAAACTACTTGGTTTTGTCTTGTTTTGCTCATTACGGTCTTTCATTTTTTATTTTGAAGCTGAGGGAGAAACACGTGCTTGCTGTTTAACGATGGACTGACGCATTTTTAGGTACTTAAAAAAGCACTCTTAATATTTAGCAGTTCTGATGCAACCATGTGCATTAAGTACATGTTAGTAATAGTTCATGTAAAACTAAATCTATATCATGTCTCCAGCAGACGTCCTGCTGTCTTTCTCTCTGATGGAAAATAAACTGCACTTGAAAACAAATGTGTTGTCGAAATTGGAGATCTAAAAAAGGGAACTGTTAATTTTACAATCTTGTAGTCACGCCATGTTGCGGCTGGCTGTACCATGTATGTAAAAAACTCACTTAACAAGACACTCACGATAGAAATGGGATTGATACATGGTGGTAAATATATTACATAAGGTTGGATTGTTTTATCTTTCGCGATTGGCCACGTGAAAACATTAATTGTTGAATAAAAAACATTTCCATTGCTAATGTAGTGTTGGCAATACTTTTAAATATTGTACCTTGATACACAAGAAACTAATGGATGTCCGATTCAGTCAGTTGTAGTCTCAAAATTGTTCTGAAATTTTTGACTAAATATTCTGCCCTCCTTGATCCAAGATTTAAGGCCCCCATGGGGAGTAGTGGTCACAGTTCATGGGGGACAAATTTATCCATTCAAAAATCACAGTGAATAAATGTTAATTCATATCTCATTGAAAATGCAGGAAATACAAGTCGAAGATCATGAATCACCGCGTATGACCTCATTTCACGAATGATGAAGAACTAAAAGCCGCATTCACGGGTATAGGGCTCTTCACGGATCACACGAAATCATACGAACGTTTCATGCATTTAGGGAATTAAAAGGTTTCCTTTTTAAGGGTAATGAAATGTCGAACGGGGCCTTCATGATTAACCAGTGGTGGTAGCCCAAGAGAATGAAGTATCGCACCTACTGTGCAGCTACATGTACCTTATGAGGTAATTAAAGCAACACACACACACACACACACACTTGCAGCATTTACAACAAACAAGAAGCATGTAAACTTATTTGAAATTTTATTTACATAAACCATTGCAATAAATGATTAAAAAAATCTCCGTTCTATCACAGTTGAAATCACTTGCAGAAAAAAATTGGTAAAAAAGTTTCTAATTTAAATAAAAAAAATTTGTTGTGCTTGCACTGAAATCTGAATGATGATTAATCTGCATAGATTGTTTGTAACAATGATAAAACAACAAGTCAAATAAAAATGGATTTATTTGAGCGTATTCTTCTCAATCTTGAAAAACTTCTTCTGTAAAACTTCCGGGAGCCTTTTTGAAGCTTGACCGTTATAATGGCGAACCCAAGCATCAAAGACATCCGGTTTTCCAGCGCTCATCGTCGCCGTGTACGTGGTATGCCTGCAAAAGGTAGTAAGCTAGTATCTTAAACCCCTTTTACACTGGACGGCGTCCTTTGTGCGTCCATAAAACTGGCATGCCTGTGGTCGTAGAAAGGAGACACAAGCATCGCTTTGGTTGCAGAGGGCTTTAAATGTCCATTTTTTGTTTGTCAATGTTACGTTACTATAACATTAAATAAATGTACTATAAGCTTGGTTAACATAATATGAACTGTATAATCTATAAAATTATTTCGATATTCACCTGTTTACCACAAGAGGTTCCGATAATACTTCAAACAATGTCCCCTTGTTGATGTTTTGTTGGCCAGTGGAATTCAATGCTTTCATAGCCGGGGTTCTGCAATACATAAAACTACAGTTCATTCACTTGAGCATTCATTTCATATTTTTTACTCATTTATCCTGTTATTATGTATTTTTTTAATTTAAAAGTATCTGTGTCCCTAGCAAGTGGAACATGTTTGGGTTCTTAGCAAGCTGAAATATAAAACAACTCACTATGAATATAAGAAAAATTCAGTGCCAATGAAACAATATGTACATATGCACTTGCACATCAAACATGCACTTGTATGTACATCTACATGTATGCACTGTTATATAAATAAAGCTCTGCTTCCAACGTACAATGTATGGTTAAAAAACCTGCTACTACTGGTCTTACTGCAAAGACTGACCATAAAATGACCATGCAAAGCAATATCCTACATTGTACAGGGGAATTATATTGAACTGAATTAAATCAAATTTATAATCATTAAGATCTACTTTCAGTTTTGAGACTTTTTTTCATTATCTTTTAATATTTTTTTGTGAAACCCTCCCCAGAAAAAAAGAACCATAGGAAATAAGATTTATGACATCTTTCTCTCAGATTTTATTTGTGAAACCTGTCCAAGACAAGTGAAACCTCTGGTTCCCCCACAGTAGTAACCCTTACCGTCTGTTATCTGTGGCAGGGGGATCCACCCAGTGATCATAATTAGTCTCCACCAAATACCACCTAAGAATAAACAGAAGTCATCATAGCTATCTAAATAGTCTCCACCAAATACCACCTAATAATAAATCAGAAGACATCATAGCTATCTATAAAGTCTCCACGAAATACAACAAAAGAAAAAACAGAATACCAGTTTTATAATTATGATTTAGAAAAAGGTCCAGCAATTACTTTTACATGTAACCACTGTACCACTGTGACAGACATGCTTTGATTTTATGCTATAAAGTAAAGAAATTTATACCAAAAAAAAAAAAATAATAAAAATAATAAAGAAAAACTTTCATGAGAGCACTAAAACACATCATCCTCTCCATCCAATATTTTATTGAAAAGATATTGTCCTTGTCTCTTTTTAGTATTTGTTTCTACAACTGTTGAAGGACCTCACAGGACCAATGTAAGTAAGTGATCTGTGGCTGTAATATAAACAGTCAGAAAATACTTCACCTTCCATTAGGGATGTCTAGTTTCCATATATTGTCTGCCTGCAGTCTGGCCCGGGTAACAACTGCTCCCTGGCTGCTGTTAGCGCCACCTATAATGAAGTATCCCTCTGCTATTGTGTCTGTTGTCACTATTCTGTCCAGTGCTCCTTCAAATGTGGTTTCTTCTTCCAAAGTCTTAAAATAGAATTTCAATAAATCCAGAAATTAAGCATACAGGGAAAGGGGGGTGGGGGG